GAGTGCTGTGAGGAAGCCGACGTTCTTTTCGTCTATGTCTAAGAAGTTGGGGAAGTTGAATCCTTTCAAGCACGGATCTAAGGACACTTCGAATTTGGATGATGGTGAGGTGGATATTACCAAGCCTAGGAGAAGGAGATTCTCCATTTCTTAATTGAAATGTATGTATGGTTAGTTGCTTAGGTTGTGGTGTGTGATTAAGGTTGTGCAGAGGTTTGTTAGTATTATTTTTTTAATTTGTTGCATTTGGATTGGATTGGATTTTATTGTGACACTTTTACTATTAATTAAATTATTGTTGTTCTCAAAATGTTGAATCTCCAACTCCAAAAATTCAATAGAGCATATGAGAGAATGTAAATCTTGGTAACTCAGCTGAATACATATTTATTAAGATGTCTCCCACACTATGAGAGGTAGACTCGATCATTTACTTACTGTGTACAAAGAACTAGTCTCTCATTCCTCACTTTTAGAGATTACTCCCACACATGCTGGCTATTAATCAAATTATTGTTATTATCTTGAATATGCTTGGGCTGTTGTGTTGGCCCAATATACCTTATTTTGAATTTGGAATGGATAATGGAGCAATGGTTTTGTTCAACAAGTTTACATAACTATATGGGTCATACTTTGAAATAATGTACCTTCAGTATATAAATAATGTACTTTTAATATATTAAAAATGTATATTGTATTTAAGGAAAATACATTATTTTGTATAATATACATTTAATATATGAATAATGTATTTGAGTAAATACTCACAATGATCCCTCGACTATAGCTAAATTCACAAATTGGTCCTCGACTTTCAATTTCAACCAATTAAGTCCTTAACTTTGTAATTTTAACACAATTTGGTCTTCTGTCTATTCGACTGTTTGGTCCACCATCGATTTTTTAAGGTTCCGGCTGCATTTCCAGACCGCACTGTTACATTTGAATCCACTGTCGAAAGCAATCTACCAAATCCGGTCACCTTTCTTCATCCTCCCTTTGGATTCAATGTACTTGAGTTCGAACCAGAGCGAAGACGACGACGTGTTTACGAACCGGAACGTCATCCTAGAGGCCTCTACATGCTCCGACGAGAGCTGAAGGTTCTTCTGGAGATCACGGTCAACAAACGGTCAAATAGATGGAGGACCAAATCGTGTCAAAATTGCAACGTTAAGGACTTAATTGGTTGAAATTGAAAGTCGAGGACCAATTTGTGAATTTAGCTATAGTCGAGGGACCATTTTGAGTATTTACTCAATGTATTTTTAGTATATTAAAAATGAACATTTTGTTATGATCCACAAAACACTGTGTGATTCATGGTCCACACAATAATTTGTCGTCTAGTTACTTATTTGAAGTACATTAGTCTAGAAGAAAATTCCAGTGATTCACGAATCCAAATTGCTGGATTTAATTACTCGGAGGTGGACCTGAATCACTAAACTCGATAAAGAACGTATATAGGAAATAGATAAATAGGCAAAACGATGTCATAAGGTCGCAGATACCGTATATTATACTAAATGATAGTAAACACGCTATTACAACAGTTGATTAGGACAACAGTGATTAAGATGTCTAGATAGGACAAAAAGAGGGATATTTATACAAGTTGTAAACACAAAAAAAAAAAATCGAAATTGTATATATTCACAAAATCTATTTACAGTGTGTAGTTCAAGATGCAGGTACAAAATCTCTATGTAGTCCTCTGATTCTTTACGTTTAAGCTTCAAAGTACCTGCAGTACCTGCAATGGCTTCAAAATCTTCAAAGCTGCTTCAAGGAACTTTCAATTCTTCAAGTCTTCTGAGTTGTTTTCAACATATTCAAGGTGTGATTTAAAGAATGAAATTGAGGCTCAATTTATAGTGAAGTTTGTAACTAAAATCCCTTGACAAACTCCACTAATATTTATTTAATTAAATTAATTAATTATCTACTAAAATGAACCTTGCCAAAATCAAGTTTAGGTTCAATATTCTATCATCTAATTCAAATTCAAATTAAAATTAAATTATAATTATCTAATTCAAATATAATAAAATCATATTATATTTAAATTATAATCCTTTATATAATAAAGCTATATGGTTTGGGAAATAATTAATGTTACAATTAATGCCACAACATCCTTTATTAAATATATAAAAAGAAAAGCACAACATTTAAAAAATAAAATAGCTATATATTATATAACCATATAAAAAATATACTTTTGAAAAATAAAATAGTTATATATTATATAATCATATAAAAATGTGTTCAATTAGAGTTTAAATTTACACATACAAAATTTAAAATTTGCTTTCCAAATGTAATTATCTTAGTTATTATTCGTATTGTAAAAATTATAATATAGATGAATTACAATTAAGAATAAATCAATGTAATTATGTAAATTCTCTCTATAAGTTTATTTGAATTATAATTTTAATTTTAATTTTAATTGTAATTTTGTATTCTATAAAAATAATAAATTCTTGACCAATGGAAGCTCAAAAATATTATTATATTAAATAATTTAAAATATTTTAGTTTTTCTATTTTTTATTTATATTTATAATAACATAGTTTTTTCTCGTGCATCGCGCGAGTGAATTACTAGTTATAATCATAATTCAATTATGAAATGGGTTTGGACCAATTAATTAATTAATTCAATAACTCAAATCAAATTTACTTGGACTCATTAAATTAATTTAACTATCATAGCCCAATTAATTAAATTGGACTAATGGTCAACCCCGAAATTGGGCTCGATAATGATTTAATCGGTCCACTTGTCGGCTTTAAATTTTCTGTGTCTACAAAAGTCATGCCCCTTAACCACCTCCTAGAATAACGGGGTCGGTTAGATCCGCGTTGACCGAGCCCCGGGTCTTCCGCTTGACCTTGACCGAGCACAATAGCGGTCGAGACTTATTCCAGCTTTGGCCTATATTCCTCGTGGCTTGCTCCGCTTTCCTAAGACGATTTGCTCCGGTCATAATATATTCATCATGAGTCCCCCACTCTTTTCGTTGTGAGAAGTCCTCCACGAAAGAGAGTGGCCCTATGAGCTCGGCCCTATGTGAGTATTCCATTTTTAGCAATTAACCACGAACTCGCCTTGACTGCCCATGATAACCAATCCATAACCCATCGTGTTTTGATTACTTTTTAAAGCATTATGTTAAACTTTACAAGAATTTCATTACTTTGTACACAATACATTTATTTCGAACCATTAATAGAATTAAGTATTTAATTAATTTGATCAAGCATGGAGAATATAATCATTGTTAAATACGTGATCTATATACAAAGAGCTAATTATCACAATAGCATCTTGTTCATATCAAGTTGGTGCATGCAACGTGTTAGAGTCGTTACCATTGTAAATGGGTTCCAACAAACCCATTATGTTCTTGTTTATTTGGTGAGAATCCATATATATATTTTTAATATAAAGGAAAAAAAATTCACTTATAAATAAGTATTGCAGTTGGACTCAGAAGAAATGAGTATATGAATGAAAAGACCGTTGCTTAATAGATAATTTTATTCTAAGTATAATAGGCTAATCTTTTTGGGATTAGAAAATTTGTTACCTCAATGTCTGCTCTTCGTCACCTGGGGTTGTAAAATTTTCCAAGGGTTAGGTTGTTCACCTAATAAAATGGTACGTGCGCTGAGTTAAGAACATCGTAAAATAATTTGGTACATGTTCGATGTAGGCTTTGGAGTATTGAGAGGACTTTTTCTAGTATGAGAAGTTCAAAAAGATTACTACTAGATATTCTAATTTTATTCATATTCGCTACTTAAATACCAAATAATAAGGTAAATAGTTAATAAGTTAAGAAAATTATTGCATAGATAGATATTTTCTTCATATAGAAAATTATTGTCTTACTTTTTACACTTCACGCGTTATTTATACAAAAGTATATAATGAGATACTAAATTGTAAAAATCATGAATATATATCGAAAAAAGTGAATACAAATAACATTTTTTTAGTCTTGAAATACGTACCGGATCCATAAGGGGATGTTTGGTTCATGGAATATGTTTTCCTTTTGGAAAACATTTTCCTTAAAGTAAAAGAAAATATTGTTTTCTAGTGTTTGGTTTATGGAATTCATTTTTCATTGGAAAATGAATTCCTCAAATTTGAGGAAAACAAAATTCTTGGTTGGACCAATGATTTTGTTTTTCATGAAAGATGGGGAGAAAAAGTGAATAGGTTACCTATTTTACCCTTGCTTTCTTTTTTAATTATATTACTTTTATTAATTTGTAGGGGCATATAGATCTATACTTATTATTCCTTACAATTCCAAATCTAACCAAATAATAACAAGGCGTTTAGTTGGAGGGATTTTAAATTCCCTTTCCACTTAATTCTCACATAATTCCAAAGACCTCCGTAGTTTGGTTGGAGAGAATTGCAATTCCATGGAATTAAAATCCCATGTCCGCCCTAGGATTTTAATTCCCGGGAAAAAAATATAATGATGAGTCAAAATTACCCCTTCCCTTTTTAACCTAAAATTATTGTCTAACAACAATAATGGACATTTTTGACTTTATACTACTTATTCACTTTCAATTCCCATGTATACCAAACATTGGAATTGAAATTCCCAGTAATTCTATTCCTGTCAACTAAACACTGGAATTTAAATTCTCACTTTATTCCCAGTAATTCAACTCCCATGGAATTACAATTCATTTCCCACATAATTCACCCCTCCAACCAAACGGCCTGTAATATTAGTATTCCTAGTAATTCTTTTTTCCACCAACCAAACAATGAAATTCATCTTCCTAATAATTATTTTTTATAAAATTCTAATTCCACTTCTCTTAAAATATTTTCCGCGAACCAAACGAGCCCTAATAGAAACCCATTATCCATATAGAGAACTGGGTAAACCCTAAAAACGGTAAGGTTGCCGTTGATTGTACGCGAATTACAAATTCAGACGATGATTCTAGAACACGTTTGTGGGCCCCACCTGGTCATATAAATTCTAAAATCCTCCGTTAAATCGCCCATAATTTTCTCTTCCTTGTCGAAATCACCGCGCGTCGTCGCCATTTCAGCTCGTCTCCTCCGTCTTCCGACCTCAGGTACCTCTTTCGGCTGCTTGTTCTCCTTAAATTCTGACTGTATCTGTGATGTATGTCTGTATGATGCCCGTGTATCTGGTAGAGATATCGTGATCTAGGGTTTTGTTTTTGTTTGTGTGAGGTAGGGATTACGGTCTTAGTCAGGGTTTAAATTCGGAGTCTCGTTGACCCGTAGGCTCCTCTAGTTTCCGAATTTCATCACTGTTGTTATGATTGTATAAACGATTTGGTGGCGATTGAATGCTGATAAACTGTGTGAAATGTGAATGGATTTGGTAGGGATTTTAAGTTGTTCGGATTAATTCATGGCGTCGAAGCGCATTTTGAAGGAGCTCAAGGATCTGCAGAAGGACCCTCCCACATCATGCAGCGCTGGTATGTTTTGATGTTTTCTCATGTGCTTTGCTTAGTTTATCACTTTGATATATTAAAAACTGTCACCTCTGCTACAAGCTAAACTATCAGCACTGTTTTACTTGTGCTTTACTGTAATTCATTCATTTTTTTGTAAAAATACTGGGCATGTAATATATCAGTTAGGATAAATCGATCTTATTTGCATTCTATATGGTATTAAGAGGAATCTGTCAACTGGTAGGAATTGAATTTATTTGTCATTGGCTTGAAAAGCAGACTTTGATTGCAGATAAAATTTTGCATTGAGTAATTCTTCCAAAACCTGTGATTCAGGATTTCATGCTTTAAATATTCATATATTCCTGTATCATAGTTTATATCATCAACATTCGTTCAATTAATAATGCAAATGTAGTCTCTGTTTGTTCAATTAATAATGCAAATGTAGTCTCTGTTTGTTCAATTAGTAATTGGTTTTCTTTTCATGCTATAGTCCTATTGAATTTCTCATAGGCAGCTACATCATTTATGAATCTTGATTATTAGCCATTTATGGTTTAGAACTTTAAATAGATGCTTATAACTCATTTGTAGTAACACTTAAGGTATAGATCAATAGTTAACAATTTATTAATTTATTTTCCTGAATTAGTATTTTTGAATTTCTCATAGGCAGCTATATTATTAGCCACTTATGGTTTGGTAGATGTTTATAACTCATTTGTAGTAACAATGCTATGAATAAATTATTAACTTTCTCTAAAAGCAGTGTGCTTTAAGTAGGACATGTGTTATCTTACCTTGTCAGGTTTGAGCCTAGCAGTAGTAAGACATGTTCTTATAGGAAGCAAATCCAACAAGTATTGAGATTATTAAACATTATGCAGGACTTAGGTTGGGAGTATCAAGTCCTGTCCCCATGTTTGCTGTTTAGCCTTGGGCAGAGGGCAATTGATTTTGTGCTATTGCTATTCCTATCTCACTTATTTGGCAGTGTCTTTTTTTGGTGTCATCATCTTCAATACTGAAATTCATTGCACATTCATTTGTTGTAGGTCCTGTGGCGGAAGATATGTTCCAATGGCAGGCAACTATTATGGGACCATCTGATAGCCCATATACTGGAGGTGTTTTTCTGGTGTCAATTCATTTCCCACCTGATTACCCTTTTAAGCCACCTAAGGTAACCTACTGCTCCAGGGTACATGAGTTTTGGATATATCTCACGGATCTTCACCACCCACTACCACCAACACAACCACTATTGGTTATGAGTACATTATATTAAGAAAATAAGTCAAATTAAAGCATGTTTTCTAAATTGGAAAAATATTCATAAGTTTACTACTCATGAACATGTTTTCTAATTTTCCAATCGGAAAAAGGAAAAATGGAACCATATTCATCAACTAAACAAACCCTTGGCACTAATTTTTAAATTTTGCAATAGTGGCCTAAATAAAATGTTAAAATTTATTGTCTCAGGTTGCATTTAGAACTAAGGTCTTTCACCCAAACATCAATAGCAACGGAAGTATCTGCCTAGATATTCTCAAAGAGCAGTGGAGTCCAGCACTCACCATATCCAAGGTTTGAGCTACAATTGCCTTCTGTTTATACTTGATGTTTCTGTATCAGTGTTTGCTCTGTGTATTCGTGAAGGAAATACGTTTGGCATAATTAAACAAAATTCCTCTTGCAGTAATGTATGCACTTTATGCTACACAATTATTGATATCCTAATGTATGCACTTTAGTTTGTTGAGAAATTGCTTTCATTTGTCCTTGATAATAATGCCTTGTGTTTTTACCTAGCATACAAAAATTGATGATGGGTGGTCTGTTATTATTGTTGTGTTATTCTTGATTTGATGGGAGCTGTGCTTATTTATTGTCTGAATTATTTTGTCTTGTCTTCTGCTTCCCTTCTTTTATTTGGAGATTTTGCTGTTTAAGACTTTAATTACATTGTACTTCTATAATTCATTCAGGTTCTGTTGTCCATCTGCTCTCTTTTGACGGATCCTAACCCTGATGATCCACTTGTCCCCGAAATTGCACACATGTACAAGACTGATAGGGCCAAATATGAGGCCACTGCTCGTAGCTGGACACAGAAGTATGCTATGGGTTAATAAGGCAAAGGCTGGTCTGGAATGCTCGAAATTCTGTTAACTCCAGTATTGCAATAAGTTGGTAATGAACTAAGTCTATTTTGTTCTCCTCATTTGAGGCAACAATTTTCATGAATCTTTTTTTTGTGAATATCATGGGTTTGGACTGGTGAAGGGGGGTGGAGAAGTTTAATGTGATGTTAACATTGATTTAAGTGGGGTTGTGTTTTTCTTGGTTCAGACATCTGTAGGTGTTGTTGCATTATTGGATATTTGCTTGTGACATTTCTAGTGCCTAAGAAATGAAACAAAATGTTCTTATTATTGCATTTTACTATTACTAGTAAACACCCGTCTCTTTTCTCTAGCATCTTGGTACTGGTAGAGTTTTTGCACATTATCTCAGACCGCGGCACCTTTGTGGCTCTCCCATATGGGGGAGGTCTCAGGTTCGAACCCCAGTGGAGGTATTGACTCTTTGTGCTTTAATAGGTTGAGAAAATATGTATGGACAGATATTATATTGTTATAGAGTCATTATTACTATTAAGAAAAAAATGAAGTAAACACCAGCCTCTTTTCTCTAGCATCTTGGTAGTTGGTACTGACTGGTAGAGTTTTTGCACATGATCTCAGAGCGTGCGTGGTTGGAAAGTGGGTGGTTTTTTATTACACCCAGCACAACTGCTGAACCTTGTATAATGGGTTAGCAGGTATACTTGAAAACGCGTTTATGGTTGCCAGCAGCGCGGTGACGCTTGTGTTTTTTGGTTTTTTTCTAAATGAGTTGAAAATCAAAGATTGAAATAATTAGGCATCGCTTTGTTGCGAAGCGAGTATGTTTGTGGTCTAATAATAGTGGTGCATGTGGCGTGGCCGTCCAGTGTTGCTGCTTCTTCAAGCGAAGTACATTTTTTTCCTCCCTCCTTTTTAACTCCTAGTCTCCTACCCAATCTACACGCCCACAACAGTGATATTGATGAAACTATGTCTGCGACGATGTAGCAATTGATGTCTAGGACATGTGGGCAAATCACAAATCATTGCCGTACTTGAGCAGAGTGAGAGTGAGTCGAGTGGAGTCGTATTTTAGGTTTATAAATTGATTGATTCCTAAAATCACGACTTGGACTGCCTAATACGATGCATAATGTAACCAAATTCTACCGACCTGTGGGACTCAAAATGGATGTCACACAGCATGCCGGTAATAAACTAATAAGTACTATTCCGTGTTGGATAGTCTCCGGCGGATTTTAATTTTTAATTTTTAATTTTTAATTTTTAATTTTTTTTTAATTCCTTGTCGTAGACCAAAATCTATACGATTTAATAGTCTTTGATTATATGAACGGCAATAGTCAAAAGAGAAATTAAGTCCTTTCTCCATTTTTTTCCTGTTAATAAAATAACATATTTAAATATTTTGATTATATGAACGGCAATAGTCAAAAGAGAAATTAAAATTTTAATTTCCTGCCTCAAGTAATGTGGTCAATCCAACCAATAGTCCAACACCGCTCTCTTTAATATTTTTTTTTTTAATTTTTCAATAAGTATATTGTTGATGAATAAAGGCCACCAATATAGTCAATCGGTGGATACTCCCTATGGATTTATTCAATGTTGTTGGTGTCAATATCAGTCAAGGTGGTGTTTAAGTTACGTGTGAAACTTGATGTTGTGCGTTGATGATTCGACCTTGATTCATCAACATTTTAATTGTTTAAGATCTTGAATTTTTTTTTGTTTGGCAATCTCAACAAAGTTTGTCGAATAGTTGGCTTGTAATTAAAACGTCTCAAATTCGACTGGCTTTGTAATTACAACGTCTCAAATTCGACTTTTTACAAGAGTTGTCTATTAACTTTCTTAGTTTGAATTGGTCGGTTAAAAAAAATTTAGGCTAATTTAACTTTTTGTGTTCTTTCTACCAAATAGGTTCACAAGGCGAGCTTCGCTTTCAGTTAGCGGGTGTTTTCATAAATTAAAATCTTTTATTTTGAATTCTATAAAAATTTCTTGTTTCAGCAATTCGCCAGCGATCACGTTTGTGCTGGACCCCAACGCCACGCTGCGGCTGTTTCAAAGTCTTTGAATCCTTATAAAATGCCGGAAACCTCTCCTCCACCTTCCAAGCAATTTCTTCTGACATTTTTTTTGGTTGAACTTAGTGCGTGAGCCCACACTTTACTTCAATAATTCTATGAAACCAAAACATTTGAAAATATGGGCAATTGGTTAATTGGAGTTGGAAAGTGAGAATAAATAAAGATAGATACTCGAGAGTGGGGTTTTGTGGTTTCATATTTTGATGTTTCTTAAGGTGGGGTTAGACGACGTTTGCCTGATGATGTGATTGGGCTAATTTTTTTTTATTTTTTTCCCCAATTTTTGCAATTGTTAGTACTGAAAATAAATAATTAATGAAACTCGAGACCTCAAATTTTGGAGTTTCAGTATTTTGATGTTCTTTCGTGAGGGGTTAGATGCTTGCTTTCTTAGGGTGAAATTGGAATAACTTTTTGCGATCTGTGTAATTGTTAGTGTTTTTCGGTTGTATTGAAAACATAATACTCCGTAATAAAGAGACTTCAGATTTTTTCATACAAGTAAAACTCAGGGGACATTTGGTGCGGAACTTTGAATGTTAGAATCAAATATTTAGTAATTAAAATAAAGAGAAAATTGTACTTTTTCCCTATAAGTTATATACTTATATCATTTTTCCTCCCTGAATTATTTAAGTGGCTCTTTTCCCCCCTGAAATATTAAATGGACATATTTACCCTTAAAATAAATATTTAAAATAAATATTTCATTTATTTTTCTTCTCTAACAAATTATTACTATAATTTGGTTCAAACCAAAGAGATACTATAGCAACCAAACCAAAATATTCCAATTACAATTTAGAATCAAACGCGATATTTAGAGTTTATTAAAATCGCGAGCCGGAATGAACGATTCATGTTCCGAACTGAAAATATAAAATACATTTTTTGTTGAATTTAGACTGTTTTAAAATAAAAAATAAAATTTTAAAATAAAGACGGTTCAAAATCGCGAACCGGATCCGGAACCACCGGTTCACGGTTCAGGGTCCAATTTTTTTTATTCATAAATTTAATAAATAGAAATCCAAATATTGGCTTTTAGATCTGAATCATAACCGAAAACTTTTAATTCGATTACTATAGTGTCCGGTTCAGTTCGAACCAAACCGTGGTCATCGCTACATATACACAATAATTTGTTGGAGAAGTAAAATAAATAAAATGTTTACTTCAAGGGTAGAAATGTCAATTTAATATATTAGGGGGAAAAACCACCACTTTTAAAATAATTGAGGGGACTAATGTGTTCACATAAATAATTGAGGGGAAAAAAATGCTATAAGTATATAACTTAGGGGAAAAAAAGTGTCATTTTCCCTAAAATAAATTTTAGTAAAAGTAAACTTAACATGTCATTGTGTGAATCAATTTTTTTTCCCTCCTTTTTTCCTTTCTATTTTCCTTGTTTTTCCATTCTTGGAAGCAAAAGTGTGATTTCATATGCAATGACTCGAATTCCATTTCGAAACACCAAAAACATTAAAACGGACAATGTAAATTGAATCAAATCTGATGGTAATTTATAAGGAGACAAATCTTACATGATTTGTTAACTTCAAAATATTTTTTTTTAAAAATTAAAAGATTAAAATATGTGATGTTAAAAGGGGATTTGTTCTGTTAGAAATGTATCATTTTCTTCACTCTCAAAAGGAGAAGCAGCTTTTGACATGTCAACAAACGCCAGTAGATAACGACAAATAGGCCTCCCTTCTTTTTGCCTTTGCTGGAAATTTCTTGAACGTGAACCTCTTCCCATGCCATTTTGTTTCACATGACACATCTTCTTCATCCACCAATCAACAACATTTTTGTTCTGCACATTTTCCACCATACCCTACTATTTTTATTCAAATAATCAATATCACAAATCACGGGGTGTATTTTAATAGCAAGGATACATTCATACATCCATAGCATGGCGAATTTGAAAAGATTGTAATCGGTATTAGAAATTGTAAGATGTGTCCTAAGGACTTACGTTTTTCAAAAATAATGATCAAGATGCTAATTTTAAGAGATTGCAATTGATGTTAGAAAGTACATTGATGTGTCACAACTGTAATCGGTATTAAAAACTGTAAGATGCGTCTCAATAGTTTACAAATTTTTGAAAAATGAATAAGAGGCTGATTTTAAGAGACTGCAATTGATCTTAGAAACTACATGATGTGTTACAACTGTATACAAGTTTATCTAAACTCTAAAAGTGTATATGACATGGGCCTATTTAAAAATATTGCAAATCGATGTTAGAAACTTCATGATGTGTCTCAATGAACTGCATACCGATTTCTTTAAAAGTGTACATAACATGACTAGTTTGAAAATATTGCAAATTAATGTCAGGAAAAATGTAAATAACAAAGCTAATCCTGTATTACTTTCACTAAACTAGAATCCTAAGCTTTGTGACTGCTGATGAAGCAAAACTATTACTTCGTAACTCTTTTTTGAATTAGTCAACCAATTAAGTTCTGTTTCGGAGCAAATTCTCAGATTTTCATTTCTTAAACATGGTGTTGGATCAGCCTCATCATTTTCTCATGGAATGAAAATATTTACCTAGTTTCCAAACCTGGAAAAATTCAAAAAACAGACTCTTCATCACTATGTGAACCATTGAATAAGCAAGCTAGAGTTACATGGATGTGTTTTAGGAGTGTTTGACAGCATGGATTGCAATGATAATGGTACTTCTTAATTACTTGACTATCCCCAATAATTGAAGGCTCTTGGAATTTCTTGAGCATGTGTACCGTGCCCATAGGGCACGCCAAAATTATTTTGAAACTTTGGACTATTTTATAGTATCTTCAACTCTTAAATTATACGGAGTAACTTTTAAGTTTAAAAAATGAGTTCTCACAGCTTATCGATTCAAATTGAGATGGCTAACTGACAACTTTTACAAAAAATTGATGTTAAAACTTTATAGTTACTGAACCAACTATCAAACACATTCAGCTAAGGTTTGCAGTTTACTTACATATTGTTTCATAAAATATATCAAAAAGAAGTATATTATACACCCTTTTTATATTTAAAGTTGTGATAGATTTCTCTCATAAAATTACCTTATAAGGAGTAATGTTTACTTTATATAACATTACTAGATTAGCTCTTTTTTATATTGATTTATTATATAAACTTTTATTGTTGATAAAAAGATAGAACACACGACAAAATAACCAATTGAAGAACAATGACCCTCTATAATCTTGAAACCTCTATATATGTTATCATATTTTTAAAAATTGGCTATAATTCGAATCCATGACCTTTGGTCTGGCTCTAATACCAAATTGAAACATGTGCTCCATCTCAACTAAAAGCCTAAGCTAATAGTTGGATTGCACGTTAATGGATATATGCTCACAGTTATTTATCAAGAATAATCCTCAAGTTTCAAAATTTAAACATGATGAATGAGTACGATAGTTAGATAATTTGCAGTTTTGCACATCAAGTTATATATATAGAGAGTTTTTTTTTTTTTTTTTTTTTTTTTTTTTTTTTTTTTTTCCAAAATGGTCCCTCAACTATTACCCATTCTCAATTTTACATTTCGACTTTCAATTACACTCAATATAGTTTCTTGATTTTTAAAAACTACCCCAAATTGGTCATCCGTTAGAATCTAACGGAGAACCAATTTGGAGTAGTTTTTAAAAGTCAAGGGATCACATTGGGTGCAATTGAAAGTTGAAATGCAAAATTGAGAATGAGCAATGGTCATCCCTTTTCAAAAGGGAAAACTCTCTCTCATTTTACCTGAAGCACAAAGAGCCAATAGGTCAGCTCCACTGAGGCTTGAACCCAACCTCCCACATAAGGGAGCAACTTGGTGTCAGTGGACAAGTCCTCGATAATCAAACTAAATACATAAAATATGACAGATGAAGTACAAAAGATATGAGTATTGATCACTGGTGTAAACTTTGGCCCCCACACCCCACCCTACATAGCATTTGAGAGGATGTAAATGATGGTAATTCAGCTGAATCATAGAGGCTAGACGTTTGTCTGCCCTAACGTCTAGCCTGCCCTCATCACTTAGATTGAGAGGTTGCCCCCACACTGTAGTTGGTGAGACTTGATCTCTTGTCATTCTTATCAAAATTCACTCTTACAACTAACTGAATTGTCCATGCCACCCGTGTAAACTTTTTCATATATATATATGGATTACAGAGTACTCCTTAATTATCATTTTTCTTGTGTTTATTGTAAAGGCTCTCTAGTGTCGCATTACATGTAAGATTTTTAGAAGGTAAATTTGCTGCAAGGACCATATAATACCCACGTGTCACATGTAAGATTTTCGGTTAATTCCGACAGTGAAGAACACAGGCATGAATATTTCCTTTAATTATATATTATATATATGATATATGATACAACATTAAGGTACCACCTGTTTCCTGTTTCTTCCTCCCCGCGCCAAAACTCTGTCGTCTATACGTATACTACTTTTCTACTACTCTACTCTACAGTCTTAGTGCCCCACACTCCCACTCCATTCTCTCTCTCTCTCTATCTATATCTATCTATATATAGCCCCTAATCTCGGCTTCGGCAGAGGTGCTTCAGGAGAGCTGAGGAGGTACCCTGTCGTTTTCCGGCGGCCAAAGCTTCAGTTTGTAATATTTCTTCATGATTTTAGGTTGTTTGATCGGCGGGTCATATGGATAGACACTCTTGCTTAGCCATGGTAGCCGAGAGAGTTGAGTTTTCGGATTCTCCGGTGACCGTACGAGCTCCGGTGAAGTTCTCCGAGCACTGGGTCGCTAGTAAGAAGAAGCAGGTTCGAGAGATCGGTGAGTCTCCGGCGAGGATCCGGCGGAAAGTCAGGATTGTGGTTACTGACGGCGATGCTACGGATTCTTCTGATGATGAAGAGGAGAGGGTTGGGAGGAGAGTGAAGAGATACGTGACGGAGATCAGCCTCGTTCCTCCGGCTATGCCGGCGGCGAGGATGGAGGCGGGTTCTCCGGTTCAGGTTGGGAAGAAGAGAGGGTTGGATCATGGGGTGTTGTCGTCACCGCCGGAAGGTGATGTTAGCAGCCGGAAGAAGTTTAGAGGCGTGCGTCAGCGGCCGTGGGGGCGTTGGGCGGCTGAGATACGCGACCCGACCCGCGGGAAACGGGTCTGGCTCGGAACCTTCGACACGCCGGAAGAAGCTGCCGCCGTGTACGACAAGGCGGCTGTGTTGCTGAAAGGAGCTGACGCCGTTACGAATTTCCCGAAAGTAACGGTACCGGAGACGGCCGTTGAGGGTCCAAAGGACGTCGTCGACGCTGCTCTGTCGCCCACGTCAGTTTTCCGTTTCGACGACGTGACGCCGTCCAACAGCCAACCAAGTATCGACGTCAGCACAAACGACACCTCGGCGAAGAGCGACGTCAGCACAAACGATATCCCGGAGAGCAGCGACGTCAGCGCAAACGACGCCGCTTTGTCCCCGACATCAGTCCTCCGTTTCGACGGTTTCACGGCGTTTGACAACCTTCCGCTTGTAGACTTAGATTCCTTCGGGTTCGACTTTGACTTCTCATTCCATTCGCCGGGGTTCGACAAACACATCGCCGATGAATTCGGCGAGTTCAACTTTGACGATTTCGCCCTCGAAGTCAGATAAAGCGGATTCCGTTATTTTGAAAAGAAACCATGGGCTCATTAGTAATTTGCGCCATTTCGCGGGAAATGTAACGTGACGTGGCATATTAGGCGGGAAATACGTAGTGTGTATAGTCATCACGAGTATAGTAGTTGTTGTCGGCTTGTCCTACGCAGATTTTGTGAGAGATATATATATATATATATTCTTAAATCTTTTGTATTTTTACTTTTTATGGTCAACTATATATATGATATATTTATTTGAAAAAAAAATTATTAAATTTAAAATAGATCAAAGACACATCCAAAAAGTGGCTTGGTAATTCAATTAATTTTTCTCTATTTTAGTAGGTTAATTATAGACAATTTAAATTTAGACTGAATTACATTTATTAGTTTTACGTTTTAAAATAGCTATGGACATGCCAATACAACCACTCAGATTATAAGAAAAATAGAAAAATAGTAAAAAGAAAACTGAGCAAACATTATTAAGGTCCCATTAATGAAAGTCATAAATTCTCATAATTACACCACATAAATTTAAGAATATAACTTCCATTATTAAGGTCTCATTAATTAAAAACGAACTCAAGATTCATATAGCATTTACTTTATTAGAACCCTCAAATTACGCTCTTGAACTCGAGCCGGTCCATCGAGTACTAACTGATCAGCACCATACTCGAGTTCTCTAACCCATCATTTGGTAGACTTTTGTCGGTTAAGATCACAATTTGCGTTTCACATTTAAATAGTGATAGTAATTTTTTATTTTTTTAATGAAAGTAAAAGTGTGGTATGTGGAAAGAGTTTGTTGATGATTTCTTGGAGATCACGCCCACAGCGTTGAAAAGTTAAAAGAGATTTTTATATTTGCAATATCAATGTCTATTTGCTATTTTCTGAGTTGGAAAATGGATGAATGTGATTGCCAGTAGCCACCACTATAATATCAGTGGGTCTGCAATCTATTTTATTCTTTATTTGTATTTTTAAAATCTTTTAGGTAGGAATGGGTTGTGAATATTGAATATTTGACTCTTAATTTTATGTTTAAACAATTTAAATCTTTTTATTTAAATTAATGTCTTTTGATTGAATCTTTACGTTATTATGTGTTAAGATAATTATCTCACATCCAGATTGCTAAGTTTAAATACTTAATGATCCAAATAGTTAGGATATGTTAATAGATCGAATTTGAAGAAGTCACTTGGTCGGGCTTTGAAACTAATTTAATCATACAATAACAATATAATATACTATTATACAGTCTTATAATGACGATGACCTCAAATCACCTTAAATAATGATCGAGGATTTTTGCATATTCATTTCATTTAATACAATCCAATTCTTTCTATTCATGCTGCTTTGTGTTAGGATCTTCAAGTTAATAAAAACTAACACTATGTTATTAATTCTAGAAGACTAGAACTAATTAACGACTTTTTATTGAATTTTTATGTTAACATGTAATTAATCCGCGTTAAGTATGATATAGAAAGCTAGACAAAAGAAGAAACTAATAATGAAGTGGGCAAGGAGAGAATTGATTGGATGACTCCCCACTTGCCACAACATGAATGTGATTGAAAATAATGTAATAATTAGTCATCCTTAATGACACTTAATACTTAAAAGTCTTAAACCAATGTAAATATGACAAGTTAAAAGGTTTAATTTCTTGTGACTTTGGGGCAAATGTCCTACCTACGACCACTCAAAACTAAACTAGGTCTTAGGTCGTCGCCGATTGTGTGAAGCGGAATGGTGCTTATTTTGATAACCCATTTTACCCATTTTGTTGGACTATATATATATATATACGAAAAAGTTAAAATGCCGCAGGACCTTCCTGTGTGACGGGGTTTCAGAATACACCAACAGTGTTAACGAAAGGCAATAACAGTGTAAGGGAAATACACCACAATGAAATGCAAAATACACCAAAAAATATACAACACATCCAAAAAAAATTATCATATAATTCACCATCCCTAATGGTGTATTTCTGAACACTATATGGTGCTTTCACTCACACCTAATGGTGTGTTTTTGGTGATGCGTACCTAATTTTTGTATATTTTTGTGGTGCATTTTCTAACGTTGATGGTGTATATTTGCTTAACTATTGGTGTATTCTGAAAATCGCTGCACGGGAAGATATCGTCACACTTGAACTCGAATATATATATATATATATATATATATATATATATATATATATATATATATATATATATATATATATTCAACTCTATAAATTCGTCTTCAATTAAGCCCATAATTCAACACCAATTGTGTATTTTTACGTACAAGGACTCTATTTGGTAGAGATTATTTTAGAGCTTATTTTAAGCTATAAATAATTAATTGAATCATTGTTCTATCTTTAGAGGTAAGTCTTAAATGAAATTTCATATCTAGCTACTAGACCAATACCCTACGGGTTGAATGGTTCATATTAATATATTATGGCAGCCAATAAATATGTGTATTACCATGAAATAGATGGTTGAGTAGATCGGGTGGAGTATGATTCTCATATATGAATGTTACAAGATTAATTATTATCAACACTAATTGGGCTGGTCCAGTGCGAGTAGGCATTACGTTTGAGTATGATACAGACTTGCTCAAAACACCTTATGACCTGACCAAAAAAATTTATTGTCAACACTCTCTTAAACGAGCCTATTGTAAACTTTACTCATGAGCTGATTTTACTCATTTTACACTTCGAATTTTTCTCATCCCCCATAATAATAATAATAGTAATAATAATAATAATAATAATAATAATAATAATAATAATAATAATAATTATTATTATTATTATTATTATTATTATTATTATTATTATTATTATTATTATTATTATTATTATTATTATTATTATTATTATTAAAGTACATGTGTTCAACATAGATGAATTGACTGCTCTACTAACACAAAGAAACTTGTTTTGTTCCTTCGAAATTTCTACGGAAATATTAGACTTTTAATATGCATTTTCTAGTAAATCTAACATTGGACGCAGTCGAAAGGGAATAGTGATAGGTAATGAAGGAGTCAATAGAGTGTGTTGTGAATTGTGATGTAATTTGGTAGCAGTCCGCATCTAATTGGAGAAGAAGGTCGTAAACTGATGCTGGGGGCCGGGACGAGAGCTCCAATTGCCTCCCATGGCGGATGAGTATGATTGATTGATATCATGAATTGACAACATTTGCCACAAACCTTAATTTGTTTGACCAAGAGGATACTGAAACGTGAACATTTTGATTATTCAATTAATGTGTGCATAACTCTCAACCTAGTCATTGTCGTCAATCTGAAAGGTTCCGATAGAGTCTAGGAAAGAAGCATATTGTGTCAGTCTTAGAGGCACAGCCAACGACTACATGTTAGGTTCTCTTGCATGTTGTTTAGTCCTCATCTTTAAATCTCGTAACAACTATTTGAAAGTGTGCATGAATTAACACAATTTCAGTGTAATAGTATCACGACATGAGAGATAAATCATACTAGGAAGTAGGAATACCTTGTGTAACACGTTCGACTAAAATGATATTGACAATAATCGAACTCAAAGTCACAGTCATATATTTTCGGTAACCTAAAAGGTTCTGATTTTGGAAAGAAGCACATCGTCTTGGCCTTGGAGTCGTAGCCAACGTGCACCCGACCTTTTGTTAGGTTTCCCTCACATGTGGTTCAGTCCTCATCTCGAAGCAGTTCTTGTTCTTAATATTCAATTTTAGTTCATGTTATCACCCTCAACAAGGAATTGACTATTGTAATATAATTTGTCGTCCTTGTCAACATTTAATGAAAAATGGACTTTATAACCATTATTGTAAAGGTCATTACACCATAATCCATACGTTACGTTAGTTATCACCCTACTACTTAAAAATTGTTTTTTTTTTTTTTTTTTTGAAATTATGTTAATTCTTTTTTCTTTTGAAAGCCAACCAGACGATTGTATTAATGAATCAAAGTAATAATAGTGTCACAGGGATAAAATCACAATACATAGAATGGTCCTGAGTAAAAGCTAACGAAGCTAGAGTATGAGCATGTAAATTAACTTGTCTAGAAACATAACATAACGAGCAACGATTAAAAAATGACATAGTAGTCCTGCATTGATCCACCACGACTCCAACATAGGACAAGATAGTCGTTGATTCCTGTAATAAAACACTTCGTAGTACCAAGCAATCCGTGAGATCAGAAGACTCACCGTTGTGACGTTCCTTTCCATCAGCCATGATAGCGCCTCCTTACAAGACAGGGCCACCGCCATAAATGATGAAAAACATGCCTGTAGCTTGCCATTCCTCGTTGCCATGAACAAGCCCTCCGAAGAGAGCAAATTATGTTAATTAGTGCTCTAGTTTTTAACAATTTATGTATGTAAAATGTATAAATTGATAGTGGAATACCCTCGTTATCAAGTCAATTTGCATCTTTCTATACCTATGTATATTCAAAATTATGAATAAATAAAAAATATGTTTCCACATGTTCAACATTCTTAGTTAAAATTACCTTAACATATATACTTTTAGATGGGTTTCAACAAATATATATATATATATATATATATATATATATATATATATATATATATATATACACACTTTTAGATTTATATTGTACCAACTACAATTTTTATTTAAAGACAAAAGTATTATTCTTTACCATTTTAAATTAGGGTAGTATTATGATCATTTATCCTCTTTTCTTCTTTCCAACACTATCCTTAAAGTTTGCACATGGACCTCAAGAGACAACCAGGTGTTATCCCCCATAATGCTGCTTCTAGAGCTTTAATGTGGTTTATTTATAATAAATTCACAATTATATTTAAAATTGACAAATTTTTTTTTACTAAAACCTTTAATTATCGATGAACCATCATAATAAATTAGCGGATATTGAACACATGACTTTTCATTTGAGATCATGTCACTAAATCACAAGGTCATTGACTGCACCGTTAATCTTACTTGATTATGTGGTTTATAATTTTTTTGACCTGATTAATATACATTATTGTATTATTGTACATTGCATCGGATGTACCATTGTACCACTCCAAACATTTCAAACATTTGATCTCTCATCTAAACAATAGATAGAAATTCACATGTTCACACCCAAACATAGATTCTCACCTTAAACCGACCCTATATAATCATGAAATGGACG